AATAATAATAATAATAATAATAATAATAATAATAATAATAATAATAATAATAATATTCTAGATTGTAGTTCTAGATGTAATTGTAGGTGTTCTTGGAGAGGTCGTAATCTTACTCATTTAAGTCTCTGTAAATGTAACTGTGTTAGCAGCATGGCATGTACCTAAAAAGAACTATTTCTGTAATTTGATAGCATCTCTAGCTCACTTTTTAAAGAAAGCTTACTCCAGAATGCACAATGACAGACTTGTGTTTAAAAAAACTATTATATGGATTTTTATGATTACTTTCTGGTACAAGCCATGCATTTCTTTGTATTTATTTTGTAGCATGCATGAGAAATATCTATTTCAACACATACTGTAAACATGTTCTCTGATTTTGTTTTAAAATTGAACAGGTAAGGTGGTATACAGCAGTAGGATCAATTCTAAAAAAATAGCAATGCTGAAAATCATTTTATTTCACTATCTTGCTCAACATCACTTTAATTAATGTCATATAGTCTAGCAGGAGATGTTCTATCTCCAAAGAATGGTAACATGTGATTTCATATTTTCTCCTGCCAGACAAAAGAAATACATAGGACTTTTATACTGCATGTTTTTTTTCCTCTTAATATCCATGTTCAGTTATAGTCCCTTGACAGCCAGGAGCTGTAGCTTTCAAAGGTTTCAGATAAGTATTTAAAGCAAAAAAATAAGATATCCGATATTTAAAACTATATTTTAATATTGTTTTAAATTTTCATATTTTGAAATACTTTTTTTACTTTTATATGAGTAAAACACTAGTTGCTATAAAAGTAAGAAAGTTTCAAATGAGAGGAGGTTGAAATCTTGCTCAAATCTTGCTCATTTGGTATTTACTGTAAGTGACTATACAGTTTAGTATTGAGTGAGTATTAATACTTTAGTATAAAAGGTTTGTCTACTTTTTGAAGGAGGCCATGGTTTACAACTCAACCAGGAGAGTTTTGTTATAATGAATATTAATCTTGGTACTGGAACATTAATGCCAGCCTAGCCACAAACTGGCTGTAGTGTTACTGTGGGCTGGTTAATGATACACCTTTATAGTGGGTGACAAGCAGCCTAAAGGCAATACTATAAAAGATGCTCTATACCACGTTGCAGCTATTTTGGAGAACTTTCTTTTCTTTGAGAAAAAAACAATTTGTTTCTTTTTTTCAGACAATGTCACAATTAAGCACTTTACATATTTCATAAACAATAAGAGAATCCCTTAATGGAGTTTATAACGAGTGCAGGAAGGATGACAACAGCCAAGTTCAAACAGCCTCAGCTGCCCTGAATCATAATCATTCCTTAATGTCATTACCTCACCTTAGAAATGATAAATACCATACATATATGCCTTTTCTTTCCTCACATTTGTCTTTTGCACCCCTCTTCCACTCCATATCCACCTTTGCAGGCCCTTTTGGGTCACATCTCACGCCACATGGGAGTCTTAGTCTCCACTTCCTGCGGCCAGGAGGCTGATCCTCAGTCAAGAGGGTTAAGCCAATATTTACTTTGACTAAAACACTCAATAAACATTTTAATTACATTGAATTCTTGGGTGTTGTGAATCCTAATGAATAATAGCTTGTCACAGTACTAAAATAAAGCTGTGCTTAATATTATAATTATATTTATAATGTACTGTATTTGTAGCAAAACCATTCTAAAATGTGGATCAGCCAAGTTAACAGAATGTCATGTGGAAAATGGCTAAGTATTGCATTGCATGTGGCCTTGGTAGTGAGGTGCTGGGTATAAATATTCAACAAATAGTCAAGTTATGGTGAATCAAGCCTCACTAGAGATAGTAAAGGAAAGATATTCCATTAATGACAGAGCATAAAACTATGGTAGAGACTCTTTTGTAGAGGACAAACCAGAAGGAACTTGCTTGGGCCACTTGCTGTCAAAAGCATATACTGTACATACACACAGACACATAAGCTACTATGTTCCCCACCACACTGGCTGCAAGTGTGACACAATCACAGGGAATAAAGAAAGAAAATCCCTCCTGTGTGCGTCTCTTCAAAGACTTCATCCCAGTTTCCTCACTTTCTTACTCATCTTCCATTCATAGTTTTATGAGTAAAGTCTTTACATTATTTTTGACAAATACTATATATACAGGTATTTCATTTGTTTTATACTGAAATACAAACACTGTTTGTCATTTCAGTCAGCCCTATTTTCCCTTAAAATGTGTGTTGTATTTAGTAGCACAGAAGCACTTCCTTTTTTCAAGTTTGAAGACTTTTTAGTTATGTTCTTTACAGTTTCTGAGAAAGTTGTCAATATGCATGTTTGTGTGTGTGTTTCTCTGTTTGTCTCTGTGTGCCTATGTGAATTTTAATGGCAAATAATATGAATATGAGCAACAGTTCAGTTCTGTACCTAGTTAACTATATATATGCTTTAGTTTGCTTAATTTGTTAACATGTATGTTTTATTTTCTGTGCTTTGTGTTTGTATATGGTCAGGTATGGCATGCAGATAACTTCTCTGAGATAACTTCTCATCTCTCCCTTATTCAGTGCTTTTTCTGTCCATCTGCAAACTTAATATCTAAAAACGCAATTGTTTTCTTCACATGACATATAAGAAATTACCAACTCATGTCTTCTCGCTTGGTTGCAGTTGCATTTGTGTAAAGTGCTACAATAAGATTTGTTAACATAGAAAAGTAATTGAAAAAAGAAAAAAAAACTTTTTTTTTTCATCTGGCTGCTCCAATATTCTTGTACTGACAGAGAAGGAGGTGTTTGAATGTCTTTTTGAAGGTGGCATTACAGAGAGCATAGCAAGCAGGGTTGATGGTGCTATTGATGTAGCAGAGCCAGTAGCCAATAGTCCAGACAGTGTTAGGAACACAGCTGGAGCAGAAAGTGTTGATGAGAACCATGACATTGTAGGGAGTCCAGGTCACAATAAAAGCCAATAGAATGGCAAGGATTGTCCGAGTAACCTTTTTTTCCCGTGATGGGGGTGTTTTCTTCTTCTTTGGGGGTTGCTTTGTCATCTTCACAATTTTACGAGCTACTAGGTTCTGCTTCTCCACACCTGGGATAATTTCAACTGTAGTGTTGGATGTGGCATAGCAGTCTCCCTTTGGGGATTTTGTCACAATTTTGATACAAGTGAGTTTGGATCCTTCAGCCTTGGCACGATGGCGGGCAGGGGCTTGGCTGGGTGTTGTACCCAAATCCTTAGCAGGCAACACTGACTCCTCATCCTTCAGGTTGGAAGCCACAGCACTAACTGAGGTGGAATCATTGGAGCTCTCCTTCTCTTCCCCTTGGCCACAGGTCTCCATACCTCCATCTTCTCCTGTTGTAGAAGGGGCTTTACCATTTTGAAGCTTTCCGTCATGTTGGTTGGCCAGGTGTTGATTCTGATTCTGATTCAGGACCTGCTCCCTTTCTACTTCCTCTGCATTCACATTATTGTTGTTGGGTTTGACAATTTGTCCCCGCACCAAACTTGGGGAGAAAGCCTCCTGGTTGCCAGAAGGTTTCCTATGATCCTTCTTTATGCGGCTTTTGCTGGCCATGGAGATCTGCCAGTAGAGAACCATCATAATGATGACAGGCAGGTAAAAAGCTGCGATGGCTGTGCCGAAGGTGACTGCAGCATTGGAGAAAAATTGGATGTAACACTCTCTTTCAGGTACAGTTCGCCCCCCAACTATGAATTGCCAGAACAGAATAGCTGGAGCCCAGAGGATAAAAGACAGGACCCAGGCTGCAGCAATCATCATACCAGCCATCTTTGTGGTTCTCTTAACTGGGTAGCTGAGAGGCTTAGTGACACAAAAATAGCGGTCAAAACTGATGATGAGCAGGTTCATTACTGAGGCATTGCTGACCACGTAATCGAGGGCTAACCACAGATCACAGACAACAGGCCCAAGGGGCCAGTAGCCAATGACAGTGTATACTGTGTACAGATTCATGGAACAAACTCCAATGATAAGGTCAGCACAAGCCAGACTGAAGAGGAAGTAGTTGTTGACAGTTTGCAAGTTCCTGTTTACCTTAATGGAAACCATGACCAGGATATTCCCAATAACTGTGACCAGACTAAGTGATCCTGCCACGAGAACAATAAAAACAACCTCCACTGTCTTGTAGGGGCTTTCTGGAAGTATGAAACCTGTGTCATTGCCTTGAGAGGCATTTGTGTATGTATAGTTGGCCATTTGGAATCCCTTCTGCTTTCACTTAGTCTCCTGCTGTCAGCTGGGACAGAGTTTTGGAGCCACCTACACCTAGGTAGAAAAAGAGAAAATGACATATGTTTAGATATTGATCAGAGTACCAGATGTTACGCTTGTCTTCATATTGTCTTCTGACTAATCATGTAAGGGCTAAAATATACACTATGTAAAGATGCTCTCAATCATTGAAAGATATAGTATAATAATGTAAAGTAGAGTAAGACTAAAGATAATAAAGTACCACAGTACTATGAAGTACTATGATAGACTTATTTTATGTAATATTCTCTATTCTCATGCAGGTTTTGACTTCACACCTTTCTCCACCCATTTCCACTTGCTCTTCCTGAGTGGCCTCTCAATCCTCCTCCACTTTCACAGCTTTTATTCTCCTGTGCTATTAAATCTTTGCCGTCTACCCTGTCTTTTTCACACCTGAAAAAGACTTCACGGCCAAAACGTTGTTTCCTTTCTTTTCTTTTCAGCGTGGAATAAACCCGTTACCTGTTCCTATGCAGCCTATGCATGCCTATGCAGCTACCTACTTGAAGTACAGATTAGGTGTATCTATAGATTAGGTGAAACTACTATGTAGCAAGGTGCTCATTGGTGTCTCTTGCCAGCAGCCATATCACCCTGTACCTCACAACTGGCAACCTACTGAAGCTAAGCAGGTGTGAGCCTGGTGAGTACCTGGATGGGAGACCTCTAGTCTAGTATAGTTAAAGTGTACAGTATATACAGTACAAGTAATAGCTATCTGAATGTCCCCCACTGTTGTTCTAGATGTAACTGTTTTGACTTCTTTTAAGGGTGCAGATGAGATGTTAACTCTTTTGAAGATAATCTTACGGTGAAACCGCAGGCCTCCTAAAATCCTGTACTAGAAACTGCAGTCAATGTATATGTTGTGTCATATTCTTTGGAAAATGTTATATTCAATTAAAATATAAATTAGGCACAAATGTGTGTACTTGTCATTTTATACTTATATAATACATATTTAGGCTCACTCTACTTATATTTTTGAAACATCAGTCCTGCCACTACTGCACTCCACATTTTCACAAACTGGAACAAATTCACATCTCTAATATGCTTTGTTACATTTGAACATAAATTACACAATCACAGAGCTCACAATCACAATCATGAGCCTGGCCAGTACCTGGATGGGAGACCTCCTAGTAAAAACTAAGGTTGCTGCTGGAAGAGGTGTTAGTGGGGCCAGCAAGGGGTGCTCAACTTGTCGTCCCTGTGGGTCCTAATGCCCCAGTCTAGTGATGGGGACACTATACTGTAAACAGGCGCTGTCCTTCGGATGGGATGTAAAACCGAGGTCCTGACTCTCTGTGGTCATTTAAAATCCCAGGGCATTTCTTGAAAAGAGTAGGGGTGTAACCCCAGCGTCCTGGCCAAATTTCCCATTGGTCCTTACCAATCATGGCCTTCTAATAATCCCTCTCTATGAATTGGCTTCATTACTCTGCTCTCCTCCCCACTGATAGATGATGTGTGGTGAGCGTTCCGGCGCATTATGGCTGCCGTCGCATCATCCAGGTGGATGCTGCACATTGGTGGTGGTGGAGGGGAGTCCCCATTACCTGTAAGGCACTTTGAATGGAGTGTCCAGAAAAGCGCTATATAAGTATAAGCTATTATTATTATTATTATTATTATTATCATCATCATATAGTATAATGTTCATATAGATTATTGAACAAAAAGTACCACGGAAGGTGAAAATGTAAAATTGATTTCAATTTTACAATAATACATTAAATAAGCAAGCTAGTGCTTTACCCAAATGAAATCCTTTCATTTACAGAATAAATAACAAAATAACTCAATCAATATTTCAACATATAAGTTTTTAATATAGTGTTTTTATATATTGTAGGTTACATGCAGAAACATTAATTGAAACATTTCCTCCAGGAGAATTAAAAAATAAAGTTTTACATAATTCATGTAGTTTATAAGATTCTGTTCAATATTTCCAAACTTTTTGTTAAATTTCTCTGTCATACAATGCATATATAAATTGAAATTACATATCATCAATATAAATTAAGTTGAAATGCACAACATCCACACTGCATAAAAATACATATTTTAAAAGCAAATGTTTCCAATAAAATTGTGTCACATGAGTTCCACTCAATTATCTTTAACTCCAGTAAGTGAATTATACAACGTAAATTAGCAGGCTATCATATGTCTAGGAAGCATAGATGTTTGTTAATCAAGAACTACTGCCTTGAATGTAATAACAGAGCACCTTTGCCCATGTATATTGATTAGATAGGAGATGTTTATGCTGATTTATTCTTAAAGCTTACAGTATGTTTCAGGAAGTGATATTTGAGAGAATTCACAGAATGAATTTATAACAAATGTTTGGGAGGGATGACAACAATCAGACTCAGCTGTCAGTAATTCATAATCAATCTTGACATAATGTACTCAACTAAACATTATAAATACTATCTACAACTTAGCAGCTACTCCTTGGTCACGCCACATTCTGCATGGGGGTCCTAGCCTCCTCATGCTATGGCCAGGTGGTTAGCCATTGGCAAAGCAGGTTAAGAAAAACGTATAATGACAAAAAATTTAATAAGCCTTTTAATATGCTTGATTCTTGAGTGTTGTTATTCCTAGTGAATTAATACTTATGATTTCATTTCACTTATGTCTACAAAAAGACCAAAGTTTAAATGTGTAGTCTTGTCACTAGTATGTACAGACAGCTGTGTACTCAATAGTAATGTGTATGATCAAAGAATTGTGTAGGATTAATTTATAAACTCCTCGACTAAAATATAACTATCCTCATGTTAAAAATATGTTTCGACATAAGGTTAGTTCCTTGTAAGTCACAAAGATGTGTTGGAGTGAATCTGCTGACCTCAGAGATACAAAATATTTTACTTGTAAGAGGCCTGTTTTCAGTTAAATTAATCTGCTGTGTCTATGAAATATATGCAATTTCATCAATTTGCTATGATTCTGTCTTGAATCCAAAAGTCATAATATTTTAAAGGAGTCCTGTAGTCCAGTGTTTCTGTTACATTTCTAGTTTTGTATTAACATTAAATACAAAAAGTAACTTTAACTTTTAAATATAATGTAAAAGTGTAACTTTGACTTCGAATTGTATATTCTGCGAGATATAGAATACCCCCATCAAAAAACTGAAACATTATTTCAGGACTCCAGAGAAACTGAGCTGAAGTTCTCTCACTGAATCCAGCAAGGCATTCAAGGTATAACTGCAATAGTAAATTTTGTAGTAAAAGGAGTATTAAAGTGTGAGAAGGATGTTTCTTGTGAATTTCTGTTCTAATTACAACTGACATCAGGATTTTTATGATTAATTTGAATTAAACTGGTGATAAGAAACTGTATGGAATACACTAAAACAGAACACTGCATGTCTAGGAGTACCCCTTGGCAACCAAGTGAATAATTTGTAAAACACTGAAAGCCAACTTTGAATCTCATCAGAGAGGATTCACCTGTAGGAGTGACCTATGACTGATTATCACCTGTGGAAGAGAACCTACAGTATGTATTTATCAGTGTGGCATAGTCTATCACTCTCCCTGCTTTCTGGGACATCCACCTCATTATTTGAGTGGATAACCACTGAGTCTCTGCCCAAAATGAAATGCCATTCTGTTGCATTGCACATTAATCCTCACCCACAGTATGGTCACTTTTAACTATTGAAATGCCTCCTTACAGAGGTCCCCAAGAAATCCTGTCAGGACCACACATTCCCAATCCTACAGTTTTGTTTCCTGAGAGAATGCTGTATTTACTTTAAGTTCTTCCCCACCACTGTGCATGGAGACACAATGAGAATATTTGTATTAAAAAGTCAGTCACAGCAGATTCTCTGCTCGGTGGGATTATTCTTGTTGAGAGTTAATGTGCATCTCTTTCCTTAATGGGTAACACATCCCATTCTTTTATGTGGAAAAAGATTGTTCATTCAGACAAAGAAAGATTGCAAATGAGAGGAGGCCTTTCGGCCCATTAATCCCATTATGTTGCTACCAGCTAATTTACCCGAAAATCTCATCAAGCCGTTTCTTGAAACCCAGGGAATTGGCCTTGAAAGTGTGGCTGGGTAGCATGTCACAGACTCCCACAGTCTTTTGTGTAAAAATCTTCCTCATGTTCTTAGTTTTCAGCAATTCTTTACAGCTTTCTTATGTTCACATTTCATTGTTTTTGGAAAGTTGTAATAATTGAAGAAGACCACATCTAGGTATGTCTAGATATGTTTCTCACAATACATTTCAAGGACAATATGTGGTTCCATATTAAAACAACTTGGTGTTTTGCATATAAATATTGAATTACCCCCTTCTCTCATCTGCAACATTCAAAAATAGATAGTAACATTTATACAGTAAATGCCTGATGAGTAGTAATATTTTTTAATTGTACACTGTTTAGTTCAATAACAGATCAGCTAAATATTTTCTTATATTTTTTAAATATCACAGCCTTTCAAAATAAATGTAAAATATTGCGTTTCAAAAGTTTAAGAGATGTGAAAATGATTGTTTCACTGAAAAGTTTCTATTTTTTGTTAACCTACAAGCAAGGTCATAAAAAGGTTTTGGAAAATTCAGTAAATTCGAAACTGCTATGCTCATATCTGAAGGTCTGTTGACCCAGCCCCAGGGTGAATTAGCCAGCTTTTAGCTTGAGGTTTTAGTTAGGTTTGCTTTAGGCTGAAGACATTTCAAATGGGATTGCAGCATAATCCTAGGGTTCCACTGTCAACCCAGGAATAACTCCGCTATTATATAATTGCGTTATGGTTTGAGATTGGTTGGCCTGCAGGCTCTTACAGTAGATTTCGGCTGGGAATTGTAGAGTTAATGCTCAAATTAATTCTGTTCCTGCCCATGTTTCTATGCATTGGTATCCCTGTACACTTTAGATAGCTCAAGGCAAGAGGAGACTTCTGGGAGCCTGATATGAAGATATGAATCATTCAGATCCTGTGAATATGGACTCTTTGTGCAGAA